GCTTCATATATGTTGTGTTTCTTGTCGTTAGCTTTGTTATCTTTATTGGCATTCTTGTATCTCCTTTTACCCAAGAAAATGCAGATATCTAGGGCCACTAATCTAGCATCCAAGGGGCAAGGTGCATCAAATAGCAGTAGTGTAAAAGTTAAAGGCGAATTTGATGTAAAAGTTAAAGGTGAATTTGATGATTCCTTTCAACCAGATGCAAAGATTCGCTGTCTATGTGGAAGTAGATTGGAAACAAAGGATTTGGTCAAGGTTTACCATTAAAGGATTTTTTTGCTCTGTCACAGATTTTGGGTTTCGGTGGCACACCCTTTGCATCCTGTGAAGTTGACTACAACCAGCAACCCAACTGATGGGTGAGTGAGTACCTGGTGTAATTGGGTTTGGGTTCATTTGTCTCTTTATAAATTGAATGTCTTGTTAATATGTCTTGGAATTTAGATTTTTTTTCCTTGTTGTCTTGTTTCCATGTAAGAGACTAAAAGTTCCTTCATTCTGGCTTGAATGCTAGTTTTTTTTGTGGGGTGCGTTGGGGATTTTCTGGATACATTTTAAGCATTTCCTTAATAGGAAGTGATGCTTGCATTTCTTGTTTATGAGTAAATTTGAGGAATGCAATTGTTGTATTGAAACAATATTTTTTATTTATTTCATTGGTACCATTTGTTTATCTGGTCTGGGGTATTTGCAAAAATTTATGCTACATCATGTTGTTTGGGAATGGCCAAATTTGTGGTTACACTTCAGTTGGGAATGACAGTTATTTTGTCTAGAGCTATATATATGTTCATTACAGGTAATCAGAAATAATCTAAAAATAAGCATAATTTTTTTTAAAAAATGAAATCTACATCGGTTTTTCAGAACCGATGTAAAAATGTATACATTTTCTACGTCGCTCTATTCTACATTGGTTTTAGAACCGATGTAGATGCCTTTAGAGAACCGATGTAGAATATGCATCTTGTAGTAGTGGTAACTTGAAAGTTGATTGAGATGATGAGTTGAAAGTTGTATGTTGTTCAAGTTGTTGAGCTGACCTGTACTGTTGAGTTGTAAGCTGATTCAGTTGTGATGATAAGTTATTGATCACTAGGATTAGAGGAGATGTTTTCGAAGTTGCTCATCCCATTGTGCGGATTGAGATAGTTGTGGTGCTTTGAGAGCGCAATTTGTTGAAAACCCTTCTTGGGAAGTTCTCCCTTGGAGTGAACGTTGTGTTGTTCTCCTCTAGGACTTAGTTGGTCCCGTGTGTGGGCAAGGTCGAGGCACACGTGTACAAAGTGATCACGATATAGGGGCAAGGTCGAGCTATACCGATTACAAAGCGACCACGGTATAGGGGCAAGGTCGAGCTATATCGATTACAAAGTGACCACGGTATAGGGGTTAGTTCGAGCTATACCGTTTACAAGCGGCCAATTTGAGTAAAGTACGAAGTCGGGAACTTAGTTCCTAATCGAGTATTGGAGGGTTGTAGTATTTGGAGGATAATCGGTAGGCTAATCCCATAAATGACTTAGTTGAGCTAGCTAATGCCGTGGTAGGCCTAAACCCAGTTGTTATATCCTAACATAGTACTATACTTCCTTGTTTAAGTGGTAAAGTTTGAGAAATCGTTATCATGTTGTGGATTTCTATCCAAATTTGTTGTTTACCTAGCAAGCCCAAAAAGGTTCTGTGTTGTCGGTTCGGTAGGACCTAACCACTTAGACTACTCACCACATTGTAGGAGATCTCCGAGTTGAAACGCGTGACGATGCATAAGTTGTTGATGAGTTGATTTATTTTTGATACGAGTTGTATATATGTTGTTGTGTTGTTAAGTTGTGATTGTGTTGTATGTTGACCCTATTGAGGATGCTGATAGTGTTGTTATGTTGTAGGTTGCTTATTTGTATACAAGTTGACGATGATGCTAGGGTCGCTAGATTACTTGTGTTGTAAGTTTCTTTTAAACATGTGTTGTTGAGAGGTGTGTAATACATGTCTTGGTTGTTGTTATGATGAATATGATAACTATTCCAATGATTTGTACAATAGTTGCGTTGAAGTGTTGATATGTGGAATCAAGTTGAAATGATGTTAAGATGTATAGTATATATGTTGTTTGTCTTATATGTCGGAAGCGAAGATGATTATATAGTTGTTGTGTTGCATATTAAAGTCATATAAGTTGTTTACTACTTCAATTTTAGAACTTAGACTACACACTTAACAAAAAGGCATTACATGCCTCCATTAACCATTAAAAAAGAGAGAAAATAACACATTCATCTTATTAGTTTGTATGATTATTAAAGATTATATATAGTTATTAAATAAATTCTACGTGGTCCACCATCTTAGTTGGTCTACCACGCATCAAATTCTTATTTCTGTGATACACCATTCACACCTTGTTATTTTTGTCTCCTCTTCCCAGCCATCCACCACCATACACCGCCACAAAGTGTTACCAACCACCGTGCGTCGCTCTCAAAGGCGATTTTTAGTTGTAGTATCACTTTTTTCCCCCTATTCTTCTTTTTCCTCTCTTCTTCCATAAGTGTGGATTTGCTGTGACACAAGTTTGTCGTGACACAACGGAGGAACACAAATTTAAATCTGCCACAAAACCATAGAGGACGCACAACACCGAATCTTTCGTGTATCAACGAAGATAAAAGAGTTTGAATCTTTCACTAGGACATAGATTTGGCAACAACAGATGGAGGAAGGGAGTTTGAGGGGGAAAAAAGTCCAATATAAAAGGTGCATCACATAACTATGCAACTTAAATAAATCTAACGGTGAATAATTGTGGCCTATTATAAATCACCTATTATACTCATTCACTCTAACCCTTGTCTAATAATTAAGGGTAAAATGAAAAAGATAAAAATAAATATCAAATGAAAATATCATGTTTATTATCAGTATAGATTATAAATTCCGCAATTTTATATAGTCTATTGAATTATAGATAGCAAAAAGGGCAAAAAGGAGAGGAAAAAAGGTGGTTTTTTGTTTTTGTTATGATTTATTAAGTTGGAGGCTTGGAGTACGGATAGTACAGTACGAACTACGAAATTAATAACTCAGATTCAAGCATAACGTCAAAGAATATAGTTTTATATTTCCACAAACGATATTTTGTACTACATACAAGAAATGCCTCAACAAATATTTTTTTTGATGTAATGAATAATTTCAAAGAATGTTTTTTTTCAAAAAAATATATATTTACATATCTGGTACATAAAATATAAAAATCAAAATTATACTCAAAATATTATTTTTAATTAAATTAAAGCATTATTATAAAAGTATAAAGATTTGGGTAACAAGTGTTTTAATAATATTAATTAAAAACATATAATGTTTCTACTTATTTAAAAATATAAATGTTAGATAATTATTTATATAAATATAAAGATTCGTTAGGATTCGGATAACAAAACGATTTTTCTTAAATAATTTGAAATATTACATGCTATTAAATTAATATCTTTAAAACCCTAGTTTCTCTTCAATCTCCATTTCAAGTAAAAATTGGATAGAATTTTAAAGTTTAAAGTAGGCTGAAGAATTGAGGTCAGCTTACACCGTTGACTCTGGTGCATTTTGCTTCGCATTTTGGCATATTTCCTATTCAGCGAAGGGGAGACTTCGAAAGAGGACAACTCATCAAAGATGGGCGTGTATAGCATTATCCATATAAATTATTCATTCATAGAGCCTAAGAATTTCTCTCCGTATAAATGGATAAAAATAGCACGTAGAATGATTGGGGCCTTTTCATTTAAAAAAAAAATTATATGTAAAGAGATGAATCAAGTTGACGAGTCCAAGTTGTGGAAATGTGGATGCCAAGCGTCAACCTCCTCAAATTTGATAGTGTAAAAGGGCTTTGCAAACAGAGTTGTATTATTTTTACACATATTTTTCTTTATCTTTTCCTATTTTATTTTATAGTTTTCCCTTTTTTTTTCCCGTTGTGTTTTTCTTAGTTGTAGAAATAATAATTAAAAAATTACAAGAATGGAAATTATCAAAAAAATAATGCATGGGAAATGAAAGCCCCTTGCGGTTTGTTTAGGTATTAGACTGCGTTGGCTTTTCCGTAACCGTATAGCTCTTGCTCACGTATGCATTCTGAATATGGACTTCTTGTTTGCTTGCCCCTTCTGAGAGATAGGGGACAAACGCTAATATTAAACTTATAAATCTTCAATCTGTTACATTCTCTTGGGAACGGAAGAATAGGATCTCAATTAATAACATATCTGCATTTGGATTTGGATGAGCTCTAGATTCTATAGAGTTATATAATAAAATGTTAAATTTTTACTTTATTTGGTTGTGATTTATTTCAGTTTTACATCGCTATTAAAAAGTGATACGTACTCTTTTAAGTTTTTTTTTTGTATATACTTTAATAAAAATATGTATGCTTAGTTCTTAATGACTAAATAGAGTCACATTACTAAATTGAAGAAAAAAATGTGGAAACCATGGAAAAATGTGTTTACAGACCAATTTTCAATAAGAATCAGTGTGATACAACATAAAGTTGAACCATGGTTCCCTTTAAGATTTCAGGCATGGCATTAATATCTTCATAGCTTTCAATATGTAATGCATTATTTTATGTACTTTTGCGTGTGTCCATCAAAAACTCCAAGCACTTGGGGGAGAAGAAGAAAATAGAAAAATAATGATAAAGTCAACTGATAGAAAACTATACTAAATTTTGCAAATGGCCAAATGCACCCGTTTAAACCATCTCCATCTATACAAATACAATCATCAGCTGGTTAATAGGACGTCCTTTCAACCTGTTCAAGGGATATGTCTACCACTTGTTTAGCTATTTTTTATCTGCTAATATTTTTAAGCTATTGTTTGGGCATTTGGGCATTTGGGCCTTTTGACTTGTCATAGTTGTCACTTGTTAAATTTTTTTTTAATTCCAATTATTTTATGGAATTGGGCTTTATATAAAGGCTTTAAAGTCAGTGCATCCCCACTCAGAATCTTACAATTCTCAAGCCCTCAACTCTCCCCCCACTTTGACTTTTCTTTCAGAAGAGCTTGTGGAGTTGAAAACTGAGTAAACATGGTTGCACTCAGGCTTGTGGTAGCATCACTTTTAATTTTCTGTTTAGCTGGAAGTTGCTATGGGAAGGTTCACTTCTCTTCCCTGAAAAGAACCCTTGATGTCACAGCTTCCCCCAAGCATGGACAAGGTACGTAAAAACATCCCTTCTTATATTCCCCCTTCCTCTACCACTAGACTTTACAACAAATATATATGATAACTTAGGTTCGATCTCATCTCACTTGTCAAATTCTACTGTCTCTAATGGTCGATGTGAATTAAAACACACATGGATGAATCAATTAATTAAGACCATATTTAGTTATCATTAATTATAGGTAATTTTAAACAAAAAAAAATAAAAAGCTAACCTAAGTCTAACCTTGTATGCAGTCCACAATTTTACGAATTTGGTGGTAAAATTCACCACTTTATTATGCTAATAAATTGAACATGGTATATTAATGATTATGCAGTTCTGGTGGCTGGAGTAGATAAAATCACCGTAACATGGGCTTTGAACAAGACCTTACCCGCAGGGACAGACTCTGCGTACAAAACCATAAAGCTGAAGCTGTGCTACGCGCCCATAAGCCAACGAGACCGCGCGTGGAGAAAGACCGAGGATGAGCTCTCCAGGGACAAGACATGCCAACACAAGATCGTAGCCAAACCCTACGACGCTTCCAACAAAACGGTGCAGAGGTTCGAGTGGTTGGTTGAGCGCGACGTGCCCCAAGCCACGTACTTCGTACGCGCATACGCGTTTGACTCAAACGACGTCCAATTGGCTTACGGCCAGACCACGGATCCCAAGAAGAGCACCAACTTGTTCGAGATCCACGCAATCAGCGGCCGCCACGCGTCCCTTGATATCTGCTCCGTTTGCTTCAGCGTTTTCTCGGTCCTGTCGCTCTTTTTCTTCTTCTTTCTCGAGAAGAGAAAGGCTAAGGCTTCTTCCTCAAAAAGTTGATCCAGCCACACACCACGGCAACGTGAGAAAAACATTGTAGGTTTTCTAATGGTTGGCATTTCATGGTCGTTAATAAATCATGAGGGACCCGTTTGTCCCTCTTACTAGCTGGTTATCTATATTTTGTAGTACTACAACTAAATTACACGTCAATGTGAGCATTATCTCCCCCCTAAACTTGTAATATGAGGATGAGGGAAGATATTTAATGATAATTCGATGTACGTGATTAGGATGGTAGCATGTTATCAAAGTCATAAGTAATAAAAAAAATGTCAAATTACTTGGTCCATGACCAGGAGTTTTACTACTTTTTTTGCTTGCCATTTTGAGTAGGTTGAGAATGGGAAATTATGTAGAAATCAGTCAACTTTGCAGTTTCATTGTACACAAGTACTAAATAATGATATAACTATTACAATAAGTTAGAGGGTATTCGTTTGACCACAGCAAAGTCTTTCATTGAATGTATATATATCTCCAGAAAAGTTTCCTAATAGTTTTACAAAAAAATAAAAAATAAAAAATAAAAATCTTCACTGGCAAATCATTTCTGAGGAAACCTCCAGCGATGTTGATGCTTGCTGCATCTATGTCTCTTCCGGAAGCAAGGGAAAAAGCCAAGTAGAAAGTGGTTGATTCATGAACTTGCAAGTTAGCTAACTCAACTAAGTGATTCCAACTTCGATTACTTGTAAGTTAGAAAGTTTCACGTGTCTTGGACCTGCGCCAAGGCCACCGTATTCTCTAGTATCAATAAAAGAATAGGTGTCTTAGAAACACCAACACATCTCGTCATCATAAATCTGCTTTAGGATGAAAATACATGTCTGTACTCTGCATTCTGTCCGTACCATAAAGTGATATTCTATCATCATAAACATCAACATATCCAAATGCATCCGTGCCAAAAGGACACTCCAGGGCAGCTTCAAGAACTCTGTGGTGAACTCCATGGGAATCAATTGAGTATCCACCTTTGTGATCATGTCCAGATAGACAGAGCTTCACACAAGTGTATCTGTGTAACAAATTCATTACTTCGTCATAATTCCATAACAGTGCCTCCTTAGATGAGGCCCCAAGATCTAGAGGCAGATGGCAACAGATTACCACCTTCTGTTTCATTTTTGTTGCTTCCTGAAGAACACCATTCAACCATTCCATTTGTTCCTTTCCAACAGCTCCATTGAACATAAGGAACCTTCTTTCAAGGCCCACCAACCCTGTTGGACTGTTCTTGTCTTCATTTGGATTCTTCTCCCGGAGGAATTTCAAGGCCTCCAATGTTTTTGGATGATCTTGAGGCCAGCCAATTGCACTTATGTCATAGCCATCAAGAACTACAAATCTATATTCAGGCACCGGTGAAAAATCATAGTAAGCATGCCCTACAGGATTCTGGATCTTTAGTAATGGAAGTAACTTATTTCGAGGCAGATTGTATAGGCAGTGATTGCCAATCAAATGATACACTGGCCCTTTGAACTTCTGAAATTCATCCACAACTTTCTTTACAGTGTTAAGAGATTGATCTTTTGGACAATAGCCATCTACAATATCTCCGAAATTTATCACAAATTTGTGCCTCTGATTATTATTCCATTCTTTTACTGCTCTCTGTAACACAAGAATGCTATGCCTATAGTACCGTGGAACACCAAGAAATGACCTACCATCAGGAATGTCAGCATACTGCACATCAGATATCAATCCAAAAGAAAAGAGAGGCTGTTTCCCATTCGTAGTAGTTAGTCCGTTAACAGAACCCATATTGTATGTATCTACTCTCCACAAGCTCCTATTGGTCATACAGCATAAATAATGTCATCAGAATAGGATTTTGGATTACAGTCTATTATAAAATAATGAGTATGCATAATCTCAAATGAAGAAATCAATCATTTACTCCTTATAAAACTTGTTAGGAATGATATCAATTTAACAACTTTATTCATTTACAAATCACTTTGCGAACTATAACTAAAAATTTGTAAATCCTTTCAGGCATCACTCTTGGTAGCATTGCAAATCACTTCATATCAACCAGGTTCGCTTAAATCCTACAATTGAAATGGTCAAAACAGGGGATAACAGAAATCAATGATCTCAATTCTCAACCTGTGAGTAAACTTGTCTATCATCCGCCCTAAAGTTTCAATTTTTCTCTGTATTACTATTCAACATTCAGAAAATTCCAAGTTAAAGAATGAAAATATAGAAAGCACACAACCAACCGTAAATACTGATTTGCCAACATGGTCAATCTTCAGGAGTCTGATATTTTCTTATAAGAAAAAATATGATTCCTCGACAAATATTTTCACACCAATTTTTACATCCACCTTATTTCTACCTCTATGTTTCTCTTTGTTTTCATCAAATCATCTGAGAAATTTTTACATCCACTTTTCCTTCCATCCCACCCAATTTTTCTTTGTATCTATCTTTAATTTCAATCACATCATTTATCACAACTATCATTTTTTTCCTATTTGTTCTACCTCTGTTATCTCTCCACCCACACACCCCATTTTTAGGGTGTACATTTATCATAACTCTCATTATCTATTACATCAATCACTCTCTCTCTCTCTCTCTCTTTCTTCCCTTACAAGGTGTATACATTCCAAGGAGGCGTGGAAAAAAAAAATCATTTTTCATGATTCCTCCGATAACATAATGGCCATCTTGTGGCCAAGTCCACCAGTTTGAGATCAGAGAAAATGCAGTTTCCAGATCAGACATAAGTACAGATGCAATGTCAATAATCTGGTAACAAGTTTCAAGACCACAGGAAGAAAAAAGGAGAAATCCTCTAAAACAGGTCAGACTCATTGTAAAAACTGCATAGTGATCAGTAAATAAAAACTAGAAAGAAAAAAAAATGCAGAAATTGGCCAACAAATAGTTACGAGCAACATATTAACTAGGAATCTAGAAAGCACAAAAGGACTCCTGAATTCTGATGTATGTCATGCCACTACACAAGACCACAAGATGAGCAACTAATTCGAATCGAATGATTATCTCCACATATTTCTCCAAATCAACTAGTTATGAAACTCGCGAATCCACTATAACCTAAAGGTCCAAAACAGAGTTAGGCCCTCCTTGAGAACTATTCCAAGGTCATGTATCTTATCTATTGAGTATTGACATTCATCGTGTCTAAGATTCGTGAGAGTTGTGATTGTTCTCACATGCAACACAGTTTATTTGATCCTATATGAATGCAGTGCGCAATGCAACAGAACAAACGAACCCGAAATTATATTTAAGTTAAATTTGTATAATTTCTCTTTTTGCTGCTACGGAATATGAAAGAAACAAATGCTTTGAAAACGAAGAGAATAGAGACGTACTTGTTGTGATGGAAACAAGAAAACGAAAGAGACAGTAGGATGTTGAGATTGGAAGTGGGAAGGAAGATCGCATTCGCAACGCGTGAGTCGTGTTTTTGGGAATTGCGACGTTAATGCAATGCAATTTTAACTTTTAAGGGCTAAAACTGTCGTTTCCAGATGTCACAAACACGGCTCTGTCACCTCCTGATTAGCGCCACCTGTCCTCTGTACCAACACCCTTTTCGTTCGTGTAACGTGTTCACCCACCAACACAAAATATATATTCTTTTATTTGTTTGGAGAAAAAACAAACATCATGATTATATAAAACACCTATATCTTTTTAAAAGACTTTTTTTTTTCATTCTGATTACATTCTTAAATAAGCAATATTTTGTTCCTTATTATCAACGAGGTGGTCACGAACTTTTGTATCTTCTTCACCCTGATGCTCCTCACGACAATAAAACAAAAAATTCTCCACCGACAATAGATATTTCATTTGATTTAAGCACCTGGTTTAAACAAACTTCTAATAGCCAATCAATTTCAGAGAACATGAAGCGTAGTATTTTTTTTTAAAAAAAACCAGAATTTGAAGATAATTATTTATTTTATATAACTAAATTTAATTTATATAAATAAATATTTTTAATTATATATTATATTTTAAATAAAATTTGTAATAAATAAATCATTTTGAACATATAATTATATTTTAGGTTTATAATAAATAATTTATAATTTCATACAAAGTTATTGTTAATTATTGATAATCTTTTAAAAAAATTAATAAAATAAGTATGAAAATAATATATTCATAGAGATAAGAAATTAAAATATATTGAAATAAATATGAAATTGGTACACTCAAATAGATAAAGAATTAAATAAATTGAAGTAAATATCAATGTCTTTCTTGTGCGAAAGTAATTTTAATTATTTTTTTATAATAGAATTTTAAAGATTTTTTTAATTTTTATCTAACTTAATTTTTATTTGTTATAATTATTTATAAATAAATTTTTAATATTTTAAAATAAATTATCGATAATTAAAAATAATTTATTTATCATAATTTTAAAATATGGTTTACATATTTAAAATAATTATTTATATGGAAATTAAATATAATTTATATATTTTAATATAATATTTATTTATAAATTTTATTATAAATTTGAGTTATATATAATAAATATTTGACCTATACTAATGTTAAAATATTAGTTAAAAATAATTTATAATGAAGTGAAGAATGAAGGTAAAATGAACGCAACAAATAATTTTAACCATAATTTTAAAATTGAACCGAATTAGTTAGTTAGATCGGTTAGATCAAGAACTAGTCTTCAACCAATTCAATTCATTTTTTAAATTGTTAGCAACAACAAGTCAAAAATAGTTCAAATTGATTCAATTAAAAAAATTATTTTTAAAATTTAATTTGAAATATTTTAATAAAAATATATATTTAAAAACATAAAAAAGTTACTATATATATATATATATATATATATATATACGTATGTGAAAATGAAATATATTTTTAATTAAAATAATTTTGATTAGTATCATATAAATTATTTATGATAGAATATATCAACATTAATTGTAATATATTTCTTTAAAATTAACATTTATAGTATACAAATTATTATCACTTTTGTTTTCTGATTATAAAATATATTTCCAAAAGCTTATGTAAATTTTTTTATTTTGAATTATAAATCCAAATAGAAAAGCTATTAAGTGATAAATAAGATTTGAAAAATTACTGTTCAATTTTTTTTTAATAAATAATTTTTAAATTATAATAATTTATAACTATTAATAAAAAAAAATATTTTTAAGTTTAAAAAACTTCAACTCTAACATCGATTGAAAATAAAACAATTAAAGAGTATATAAGTTGGGGCAACACTTAAGTTACAAGTTAATTTGTATGATTGAGTGTTATAAGCTTATAATCTACGATCTTATAATTTAAAAAATTATGTATTACATGTTGGAGGCATGAAAACAAATGCTTCTGATGAATTCATTGTGAGCAATTGAAAGTTGAAAAATTATTGATAGAATTTATAGTAATTTCTTTAATTTTTTTTCGTAAAAATATTCTCACAGAATTTCTTGCGAAAAATTCGCAGGAAACTTTCCTACGAATTTTTTCTTGCAAAAAACTTTCCTGTAATTTTTTTTTGCAGGAAACTTTCCTGCAAAAATTTTTCGCAAGAAATTTTCCTGCAAAATTTCTTGCGAATTTTAAAATTCGCAAAAATATATTATCCACAAAGGTATTACTTGCAGATAAAATTTCACAGAAAAATTTGCAGGAACAACGTTTCCTGCGAATTTTTCATAAAAATTCGTAGGAAAAGTCGCATGTAATAAGAAAAATTATAGTAATGTGTGATTGTGTAATTTTATTTCCTTAAAAAAATTTATTGTAAATTTGATCTTCTTAATTATCAAAATTAAATAATGTTGATTCACCTATTAATATGTTATCCAATTTTTTTTTTTAAAAAATACTGACATATATGCAAATGATATTATCTATTAAATAGTTAGTTATGCAGGAGAAAATATGAAATGATTCACAAGCAATGGCATGTGTCATATCAATCAACACCATGTGATTTGAAGTGTTCGTGCTTAAGAATGGAATCAGTTGGCATTCAATGTGATCATATACTTGCAGTGTTGGTTCATCTGAATTTATCAGAGTTACCAAAATGTTTGGTGTTAAAAAGGTGGACTAAGGTGGCCAAGGATGAAGTTAAGGGCAATGTTAGTACACATAGGTGGGACTCTTAGAAAGATGCTAGATACTTGTCATTAATGGATTATTGTAAAGAGCTTAGTACTTTGGCATGTGAAACATATGATGATTATGTTGATAAAAGGGATAAATTTGTAAATGAGTTAGTTGAAATAAGAGCTAAAAAAGGTCATGAATCCGAAGAAGGCAATGCATTGGGTGATGAATTAAGTGTAGTCATAAGAAATCCTGCCATCGCTAGAAGTAAAGGAAGGTCTATTGATCAAGGTTCATGGCGCAAAGGTAGGAAATCAAAAAAGAGTATTAAGTGTAGTTTGTGTAAACAAATAGGTCACAACATGAGAACATGTCCAAGACAACAAAATTTTGATGATATGGAACAAAGCACACATGGAATGAGTTTTTAATTTGAAGAAAGTTATGTACCTTACCAAAATGAACAGGTAACGAATATAAATTATATTCAAATTATATATTTGTTGGTTGAAGAGAGTTAGACGTGATCGGTGTAATGTTGTCATTGTAGGAAGATGAATACATTGAAGATTTGTTTGACAAATGCGATGAATTTGATAATGGGGTTGATGACATGTGTGTTTCACAGTCAGAATCAATATATAGTTATGAAGTGTCTTTATCTCCAACATTCAGTGATGCAGGTAATGTTTATGAATTACTAACTGAAGTGTGTTATTGTACCTGTATGAGAAGTAATAAGTTTTTTTTTTATCGTATTAGTATCGTGTTATATTATTTTAGTTGTGTATGTAAGATCGGAAGAATTTTCATCCAAAACCCTCAAACTCCAAAAATCCATTTTTCACCAACATTCAGCCAAAATCAACCAATACCAACAGATAATGGGCTTCTAGCACCGAGTTTCATCCAAAAACAGCGAAAAACCTAGTTTTCCTTACCTCGATAGAAGAATTCGAGCTTCCGGGAAGAGAAGGGTTCAACGGAGGAGAAGAGAATGGACGGAGGGAAAAGAGACGGAGAAGAAGAACTCTGAATCACCTACTCAGCAACACCACCTAAGGTTCCAAAAGAAAGATCAAGAGTAAGGAGAATGAAGAAGAGAAATGAGAGAGTTGGAGTGAGTGAGAGTTGAATGGGAGGGAAGAGAGTCACGAGTCTCACAAATATATATAGTTTGATTTAATTACAAGTAATATATATTAATTAAGGTAATTAAGATTATTTTATTTAAAGAAATAAGATTATTTTGTATTAATTAAGATAATTATGACAATTTAATATTCTTATTTTCTTCCTATCATCTCTTACACCTACTATTCTTTTGTATTTTTTTTATCATTAAATACTCCTAAGATACTATTCTTTGATATTTTTTTAAAAATTAAATATTCATAAGCTACTGGCGATATTGATCTCTAATCTCACACTCTATGTGTCTATTTCTTCGGATGAATCCATCAGATACAAAGAAAATAATGCTCATCATTAAAGACAAATTGTACTTTAAAATATTGTTTCATTCTAAATGATCTACCACAGAAATCCTGCAACGACTATTATGCAACCGTAAAGAAGTGCTATGTAAAATTTGAAAGTATAACAGAAAAAAATAACTAATCTAAATCACATACTTTATGTGCCTATTTCTTGAGATGAACCAACGAGATACAAGGGAAAGCTCATCATTAAGCACAAATACTAGTATAAAATCTTTGTTATGTTCGTAATGATCAACTATTAAAAATCATGCGATGACTATTATGAAAATCTTGAAAAATTTTAAACAATTTGGAGTGAAATATTTTTGTTTTAATGAAGAAATTATAAAAAATTAAAATTAAAATATTTGTATAATTTTTAAAAATCGTAGAATTTTATAAAAAAAAAGTAAGAGTATTTTTTCTTTTTTATCTCCTATCTCCTCTGCTCTCTTAAAAGTAAGAGTATGTCAATATTTTTATTAATTATTGAATGTTTAAAATTATTAAATATTATCTATTATTAATTTTTAAATTGTATGACATTTAATTTTATAAAATTTAATCTTAAATCTTATATATATATATATATACTTAAAATCAATTTTGCTCAATGAAAATCAAATTACTCTATCCAAATCAAAATTTAAAAATTAAAATTTTAAATTGATTTGTTCAAATAAAATATTTAAAAATAAAAATAAAATTAAAGTAATTTGAATTCTTAAAATTTCTAATTTTAAAACTTTAAAAATTTCTCATTCAAACACATTATTAAAGAAGTGTGATATAAAACTTCAAATGTATAATAGAAAAAACTAAAATTTCATTTTATTTCATACTTTTTTAGTTTCTAATAAACAAAAAAGTCATTAATCCAAATATTGTTAGACTCAATTTTCTTAAACAAGATTGAGTTTAAAATTTTGAAACTTAGAGAGTGTGGTCTCAAGTTCAAAACTTTAGAATGAAAATTGAGAAAAAAAAATCTTAATAAAAGTATTTGTTAAATTTTTCAATAAAAATTAGTCATTTGAATAAATATTTTATCCTAATAACATAATTATAAAAACATACTTTATTTTCCAAAGAGAATGCCAAAATGACTTCAGGTTAGAGAAAAATAAAAGGCAAGAAGAAACAAAATTGCCGAGCAATTACGAGATTTATTGCTCTCATGCCTTAAACAGAGGGCTGAAAAGCATACCTCGCTTCAATACAACATAATACAAAAGGCCATGAACCCGGTACTGTACATTTAGAATTTTTTTCAGTCATTAAAAACAAAAAATGCTGGGGGCATAAACCAGAAATGCTATTTCATTTATTTCTCTATTGATATTTTGTGACCTTACTAAATAATATCAGAAGTTCTCTATGCTAAGAAGGGAAACTACTCATACAACAAAATCCGGTTGTACTAACAATTACCGTGTTATAAGAAAAGACCTTGCACGGGCCTGAAAAGACCTTGCACGGGCCTACTAACGTTTTTGTGGCAACTTGGAATTGCTCGCAAGACAGCAGCACAAATTTCTGTTTCACATTATTCCTCAAGTTTATCATATCGATCTTCTACTGTTTTAGGGACGAAGAATCTGATCAATGAGCTTCTCTGGAAGCTTTTTAGTAGCCTGTGCAAGTATGAATATGTGAATTGAAAGCACATGCACATATGTCACTCAATAATATAGGAAAATATACCAAGAAACTAACCTGGAAGTTCCTCATGTGCAAAATAGGTTCACATCCAACATCTGCCACTGATTTTCCATTTGGTGTTTGCAACTTAAATCGGTCTGCCTTGTATGCAGAAAGAATATTTTCTTCATCTGGTAGGTGATGGCTAACTTTCAGGAGTGAGCTAAGAGAATTCATCTGAAAGGTTGAAGAAACAATCAGATGATAGCTTCCGAGAACAAAATTGAAGAAAACTAGTTCTAATCCAGATAAACACAAATAAGTCAGTCACCATTGACCCACCTCGATGAGAAAGGGGATAGAATTAAAGTCTTTTATTACATTTTACAAAGCAAACCTATAATGTATTTAATGACCTACCGATTACAATTACTTATCCAACTGTAGCTCAAGATCTTGTCACTCTTCGAGCATATCTCAAATTGATTATAAACTGAGCTAACCATATCAAAACCAAATTACAAATTCTACCTTCATGTATGGACAAGATGCACAGCCACCATGAATGGAACAACCCTCCCCGCTAGCTACTCCTGGTACAACAGAAAGTATGATATCACCCACTTTGGCAGAATTGAGACCTGAAGATAAACTTGAGGTTGTTTTTGAGATCGAATCTGATGAAACTGGAAAGACTATTTCAACGGTGACTTTTGCTCTTTGAGAAGAGGACTTTGCTGGTTCCAATAAACTACGAACTGTTGCCACAATTGAAGTCACCATCCCTGATTCTGTTCCTAAAACAAATTGGAGATGATCATTTATATTTCTATCCAAAGCTTCCTGAACCCTATCCTTTATGAAATCCAAAATATTCTGTGTGGAGCCTACTACGCCCATTCCCCTTCTCTTTGCCTCCATTGCCAATGAAAACATCTCTCCAGGTACCTCAAGATGGGCAGTAAGGAATGCATCGCAGTACATTTCTTTTATCTTCTCCACAACTTCATGGCCAAATAGATGGTGAACAATGCATGTTCCATCCTGGCACCAAGTCGCAAAACAATATAATCATGACAAGAAATATAGAACCATTGATTGCTAGTACTAGCCTACTATTATAAAACACAAACTAGCAGATGATAAGCTAATACAAGCCAGATTTTATACAAGGAAAATTCAACCTTAAAAATTACAAACCACAGAGGAAGACCACAAAAGTAAAAGTGTAGACATTGACAAATTTCTCTCAAAGTCATACATTGCATGAACCCAACACAGGAAAAAGAGGATGGAATTATTTAACAAAGCATATACTAACTCATGTTAAAGAAATGGGGTGAGAGAGGGAAATATATAATTAGAATGAAATATCATACTAAATATATATCATTGCCGGTGAAAGAAAAAAAGTAGAACAAAATGACTTCACTAAGCCAGCACCCGCAAAAGACTAAATGCAAAGAGCAACATAAATGATGCACATCTAATTCGAAATGAAGTGAATTCTTCCTAGCTTTTCAAAACATGCTAAAGATTTTACCTGATAATAGTGAAGTCGAGGTAATAATGATCTAATAGAGTCTTGACTGTGCTCAGGATGTATCACAGCAATCTCTTCATCAGTCATTTTTGTCATTTGTTGCAACAATTCTTTAATATTTGCACCCATGTAAGAATCAGGTCCATACCATATGCTCAAATCTGGAACTTGAGCAAATGCCTGCATAAAATGAGACCAATGTATCGTTTTAAGAAACGACTAATGGACTAGGTGGTGGTCATCATGTAATGCATTCATATGACCATTACAGAGCCAAAGTGGAATACAAAAATGTTTTTATCTGACCAACCTGTAGGATGGTCTGGACAACATTTGATGAAGTACAGGTTATTGTAGGCACAAGCTCATGGGCATATGCCTTCGTTTCTAACTTAGTGTTGATGTATATGACATGCAAAGAAGTAGACCTAGAAGCATCCTCAAGATACTCCATATAAGTAGGAGTAGCAGCAGCATCAGCCAGAGAACATCCAATACGCTCATTTGACATCCTATACACGCCAACCTGCAAATAATTTTCAGAAGAAAAATTAAGGCCAAAGGATTAACATGTAGCTCAAATACTTAATATTACTCATCTATAGCTCACGTGACCTGCTTCATACAAGCCATTCACTAATGTTTAATCAATACCTCTACCATTATATAAAGGAGATACCCCTTTTGCTAACCTCTTTGGTTTCTATTTTCATACAGACCCTTTTACCCCTTATTCTTTTTAAGTACCAAAATTTCACTAACTGCATAGTGTTTCTTTTAACTGGTTTCCATTTTTTTTCGTTTTATCTTTCACAATAAATAATTACGGTTCACCACTTTTTCTCTGCACAAAATGTTTATAAATGGGAAACCTAATAGAGTCCATCTTCTAGACAGACTTCACTTGTCATCACATATTTTGCCTTTTGATGGCTATCTTTCAGAATAGAGAAGGCATACCTCACTGAAGCCAGCCTGATCAAGGATGGCACGCACATTTTCTGACATAAAATCCACACCTAGCACTGTTATGTATTGGCATCCGGCTTTTGCCATTTTTACTGCTGTATCTGCCATGACCAGTGAATCAGATATATAGATATGTGGCCACTGCTTCTGAGCAGCAGTTAAAATGCCTTGGACCTCGGGATCCATGTAAAAGTGTGCAACGACACCGATTTTCTTCTCCTTCAGCACATTGACTAGTTCATTAACCTTTAAGTCATCAGGGAACAGATATTTTGCCTGCATGAAAACTAGAAGAAAATTAGGAGTTTAATCGGTCAGATCATGATTCCATGAAATTATGGCATTTGTGTTGGGTATAACCATCTATTTTGACATGAAGTAAACATCTCTTTTAATTTCAAAGTAAAACTCGTTGAACAGATAAAGTAAACATGCAGACATTTTTTTAATTTTAAGTTCAGTAACAAAGAGGACGGGAAAAAAAAAAAAAAAATCCCAAAAAATTACTGAAAACCCAATTTGCGTGAACTGAGTAACGTGTTAGGATGTCAAGTTTAACACTTCTTCACCATCCTTGGACCTTGATTGATATATCATGTGCATTGTGTGTGCAACTCAGAAAAAAATCTCGCTAAACTAAACAAAAACCAATGAAATGAGTAGGCAGATTCAGGTAGAGTGGGGCTTTCAGTAAAAAAGAAATTGCATGTACAAAAGTGTGTCTTGCATAGAACTTAAGATGATGGTGCTTTTCAGTAGGATTAATGGCGGAAACATAACAAGCAGAAAGGCATAGTCAAGCATCTGAGTCACAACACACCTTCCTTTCTATTTGCAATTCCGTGTTGGATGTACAGTACAAGCATTCCCGAGGAAAATAATGGGAAGAAAGGCCGAGATAGACAAGGGCCTAGAGAAGAGGGTCAAAGATCACTAGAAGTTCCAACTTAACCAAAGGTCTTAACTCCTAGTCTTGGATATGTAATTGTGTTAAAAACTTCCTGAGCTTTGTTTCTATCTGATTTACTGAGCAACAATAATTAAAATTTGTCTCGTGCTTCATCTTTCGTTACAATTACAATTAAACAAGTATTTTTCAGTTGTTGGTTTTCTTAACAAATGAAAAGCACCAAAGCGAATTAAATAGCACCAGCATCCAACAACCATGAAAAAAACATAAAAACGAAAGGACAATCTCCTCCCACGTTAGAGGGGGATCAGATTCGCGCAACAAAAAGAGGCGTGGCGTGCACAACTCTACTACCAGTTACCACTACTTTTCATAAGTCTCAGATTCTGCAAGACTTGAATCAGTCACAGTCCGAGAAACAAAGGAAAAAAGAGTAATAATGAAACAGAGAATTTGAGACGATGCTAACCTGGGCTTCAGCGTAGGCACCCTTGGGAAAAACCCCATCAGCAGTGACAACCAAGGAAGGAAAAGGCTCAAACGGAACCTTCCCTTCCCTCTGAGCCACCAACTGCTTGGTCCTCTTCTGCATGCTGACAAGGACGTTGTGCCACGTGTTCACCCTGGAACGCCCACCACCTCCGGGCAAGCCCACATTGAGGCCCACCAAATCCTCAGTGGTCAGTCCAGTAACCTCGTGGGGCTCCGACCCGTCCAGCACACAAACCAGACACGCGCAGAACCCCCTCGTGATCTCCGAATCACTGTCCGCCGCCACCCTCACCTTCCCCTCCTCGTCGATCCTCACCTCCACCCACACGCGCGCGGTGCACCCCATCACCCGGTTCGCGTCCACCCGACCCGACTCCTCCATCGGCGCCACCGCCTCCGCGTAGTGCAGCAGCCGCTTCACCCTCTCCACCGGCTCCCGCAGCGAGCGGAACTCCTCCGCCAGGTGCCGCAGC